TGTGTGTGTGTGTGTGTGTGTGTGTGTGCGTGTGTGTGTGAGAGGCAAGGGCAGGTTAGGTGAGGCTGTGTCTAAACAGGCCGTGTGCCCTGAAGCCACAGTGTACTGCAGGGGTCAGCCTCCATCTCCTCCCCTCTGCTTCCTTTCTTCTTTTTCTTTCCTCCTCCCTCACTTGTGCTATGACAACACCACCATCACTGTCCGGCCTCTGCCCTCTCCTCCTCCTCCTCCCCGTCTGTCTCCTCCACATGTCTGCACGTCTGCCTCATCCTCCTCTTTGTTGAGACAAAGGGGAGCAAATTATGATTCTGCCTGCACTTTATCTTTACCCCTCACAAAAAAAAGAAGTGAGGATGATTTGAAATTTGCTGCGGGACGTATTTCCTCACTCCCTGAGAAGACTGTGTGTGTGTGTGTATGTGAGTGTGTGTGTGTGAGTGTGTGCGGCAGGATTGGGGCTGTGGGGAAGAGGGGCAGCAATATAAGAGACACACACACACGCACAGAGCACACATCAGCATTACAATCACACACAGCTGTTTGTCGTCGGTCTTCTGAGCCAGAGAGGGATCTAGAGAGAGAGAGAGGGAGAGAGAGAGGCTGCACCACAGATTCATGATCTTCTTGAAATACGCGTGTCACTGACCCCTAATGTGGAATCACTGGAATAGTCCTGTATGTTTATTTAATCAAACTGTGAGATTCCACGACCTTTAGTGGAGAGGTCGGCCCAATCGAGAGAAGTTACTTTATTCAGAAAATATATTTCATAACAACACAATTTTTAAGGCTGACAAACAAGAAACACAGACTGAGACAACACACTGGGACACAATATGAAATGAATAAATAACAGCCTTTCATGACGAGGCTAAAAGCTGCACCGCTGATGGCACATATAATATTTGGAGGCAGGCTGTTCCACAACATCAAGAGGAACTTTATGAGACCTGAAGGAGATTCAAAGGTTCAAAAGCTCTGAGATATAAGATTTAGGAACCCATTGACTGTATATTACATATATGTTATTATAAATATTTCAAATATATTCATTAAGAGTACATGCATTTGTCATGCATGTATTACATGTATTATTGATGTCCTCTATGATAGCCTCCATGGGGCATGTTCACATACGCAAGGGCATGCGCATGGTGCACATTTGTGTGGCTATGGCCACTAGCATAGACGATTATTAATGGCTAAAATAAAATTTCTGGAAAATTGAGTCTGCTCATTTTCTGAACTTTTTCCTTAAACATATGAAGAACACAGCAGGAGGTTGTTGAGATTTGATGCTTTCACAACAGGAAGATGTCAGGAACTTGGGTATAACTTGGGTTGCAGGAAGTGACACATTTGATCCGCTGCGGAAATCTCATGTTTTTGTTGACAGTGCATTAACACCAGCATCTGCCTTTATCCCCAAAGGTTCTCATAGTTAATTAGCATCTTCTACATGTGTGGCACCTCTTTTTCATCCTGGCATTTGTATTATCTTTTATGTCCAGAGCAAGTGACTAGGACATGTTCATCCTCACATACAACTTGATGGGAACATTTCAGGAAGCTGAGTACATGTCTGAGAGCAGCTATACAGGGGCAGGAATTCAGAAGCAAACATCTACATTTACAAATGTAATTCATGTTAAGTTTGTGCCAGGTCATCAATACATTGAACTTTGTTTTGTTGCATTTAACATTTATTGATCCTCATAAAAACAAGCGAAAAGAGATTAACGCTGTCTGCAGCAGCCTGTCTTCTGTTTTAACTTTATGCTTTCATTTCTTGCAGGTCATAATTCTTAAATCACCTACATTTTGTTTATTGAAACCAAAAGCAGATGATATATATGATGCTAAATGATATCTTTCATATCCACTGCAGTTAATCAGTGGGCTGAGAGTAGCATAGGGCTCTGTGGTCATCAGGTGTGTGTCCATCATGGTGTGCTCAAACACCTGTGAGACTTGCCTGCATCAGAGCAACAACAGCATCTCGTTCTTTGTTCACATGAGGGAACTCTAGAGTCACACGGGTTTTCCCCCTTTAGTTTTTACTTAGGAAGCTCTGTCGCCTTCCTGAGGCCAGAGGAATAAAGCATCAGGTGACCGGGACACTGCAGAGGAGAGCAGAGTCCTCTTCTTCACACATCAAACTGTTGCTGTTTGACTGACGGCCAGCTGGAAACCTGCTGCTGCCTGGAGGGGAAACGCAGTGAGTGTGTGTGTGTGTGTGTGTGTGTGTGTGTGTGTGTGTGTGTTCGGAGAGAGAGAGAAAGAGAGAGAGAGAGAGAGTTGTCTGGACAGACGCAGTAGCAGACGTGCCCGCTCCCGTCTCTCTCTCTCTCTCTCTCTCTCTCTCTCTCTTCCAGTCACACACACACACTCGGGAGCAGCGCTTTGACGCACCACGCAGAGTTGGATTATAGTGTTGCGCGCTGGTCTTCCACGGGGCTTTTTCCCTCTCTCACGTTGCCTGCACCCTCGCCACTGACCGGCCATTGATACATGATCGAAATCAATTGATACATGATCGGAATCAATTGATACATGATCGGGATCAATGCCTCCTGCACCACGGTGACCTCTGCTGAGCTTTTGGGAAACAACCGAGTGCTTCCTCGCCGGACGCGTGTTGTGAATTAATAACCAAGACAGCCTCACCTGGAGAGTGTGTGTGGACCGGAGTGTGTGTGTGACAGAGAGTGTGTGTGTGTTTCTCTGGATCAGGTCAAGGTTTGAGGTGTTCCACCAGCACGCGCACATATTTAGACTGCATACACACGAGTGTATAGCGCACACCGGGGAGATTTGCGCACCGCATGCCGGGGACATGTGGAAGTTTGCTCCGCTGTAACGCAGCGAGAGAGCTGCTCCACCGCCTCGTCGACCTCCCCTCTCCCTGCCCAGGGGGGGACCAAAGTCCCGGCTCACAGCCTTCAGACGCAGAAGCCCCTCCAAGGAGACCCAAATGTAAATTCAGCACGAGACAGCTCACAAACATACGTGTGAAACACGGAGGGAAGCGAGGACGACGACAGAGTTCATAGAGCCAGAGTTTGGTGAGCTCTCTGAGGGATTTTAAGAACGCCCTTGTATTCCCTCGCTGTTTTTGTGGGTCTCATATTGGCCCCCCACTTGCCGCAGTGATGGTGGGAGCTCTGAGCCCCGTTGGCCCTGGCCGCTCCCCGGCGACTGCTCCACTTCTGCCGCTGCTGGTGACGACTGTCCTGGTCCTGGTGCTGTCCAGCGGAGCAGCCGGACAGCCCTGCCCGACCCAGTGCTCCTGCACCGGCACCACAGTGGACTGTCACGGCCAAGGGCTCCGCAGCGTGCCCAGGAACATACCCCGGAACACGGAGAGACTGTGAGTAACAGAGGGGTTCGAGCTTTAACAGCGCAGTTTGGATTTTTACGCAGCCCAGGTGTCCCAACAAATCGGGAATACCTAAAGGGAAAACCTATTAGATCGATTACTTTGTATGTGAATAATGCTGGAAAACTACTGCGCTGATCTTAGTGGCCTCATGGTATTTTTAATTATAGCCTATATAATAAAGCTGTTTTCCGGGAGGGATTTAAGAGTTTGGGGGGATTTCATCACACGATCTGGTTTCTGATCAAGTAAATAGGATTACTGTGATTACAGGTTATTAATCCTCAAATTGTAAGTAAAACTGTAGCTTCACTTACACATTTCGTCCTTTTAAACTGCATGTTGACACCATGAGAGGAGGGTTTATTTCCCATGGAGTTAACATGACTTTTACATTAGAACTAACGTATCCAAAACTTCACTTTACGCGCATGTTTTGCTTTAAAAGCCGCTGATGTGAAATTTAGTTTAATAAAAAAACAGAAAGACTTGACTTGAGAGGACGTTGATCGCTCAGCTGAAGTTATGGGGGCACTGCTGCGGTCGTGTCGGTGGTTTCGCACTGTTGCATTAAGCACAGCCTCCGTAGACCACATCGGTTTGTCTGGAGACCAGCGAGTTAATCAAAAACGGATTTGGACAAGTGGCTCTGAGTAAAAAAAAAGTGAGAGGGGGGCTGCATTTTATCAGGCGAAGACCCTTGGATGAAATTAAAATGTGTCCATGTCGCCTATAGCGCAGTAGCTTCAGCTCCTCTGACGCACAAATGACCATTTCTGCGTTATTGGACGCACCGAGTTTCAAGAATAAAATCTCCTGAGCTGAGCTGCTCACCTGCTTTGTCCTGGGTTTATTAACATATCAATCTCATGTACTGACAATCCCTCCATCTCTGCTTTGTCTGTAGGGATCTGAATGCAAACAACCTCACTAAGATCACAAAGACGGATTTTGCAGGACTGAGACATCTGCGAGTGCTGTAAGTGTTTTAGAAAATCTCATTTTATTTTCTTCTTTGTTTTTCCCCCTCATGTGCACATGACAACAACACCTTGAATTTCCATCAACTTCCTAACAAAAAATATACGGATTTTAACTGTTTCCTGGTCCTGTTGCGCATCAGGCGCATCGTCCATCCATCCAGCCCCCGGAGCTGCCGCATGCTGCAGCAGCTCTGCACCGGCTCGTCGTGGGAAGCGCTGGTGGTTTCATTCACTACATGCATGTGTCCAAACCAGAGCAGCACCTGTTAATGCCGTCGTGTTAATCTGCCAGTGGAAGTGTCAGGAGGGGTTTATTTTAACCACAGGGCCCCGGGGCCCATGTGCTGGAGTGATTTACGCGCGGTGGTGCTGGTGAAGTGATGGAGGGTGAAGAGGGAAAGAGATAGCGGTCATTAGGTCTGACCACAGAGGGGGGGTGCAGCTGGAGAGCAGAAGGAAGGAGAGGCTCAAGTAAGAACAGGATTTTTACCTGGGATGAATCTGGGTGAAGAGATTCCCTGCACCAACACTGTGACAGGGATATTCTACTGTTTTAATGTGTGTGTGTGTGTTTGTGTTTGTGTTTGTGTGTGTTTGTGTGTGCATATTCAGCCGCTTAAAGTGAATGGCAGAGAATACACATTGCTGGAATTCCTCCAGAGATTATGCTCTTAATTGGTTGTGTGTGTGTGTGTGTGTGTGTGTGTGTGTGTTTGTGTGTGTGTGTGTGTGTGTGTGTGTGTAGTCCTCATGCTGTTTCCTGTGTGCTCACGTCCAACCGAGAGAGAACACTCGCACACACACTTCACCATTTTCAATTAGCGCTGCAACAATTATCTTAGTGAATTAGTTGATTTGATTAAATGCCCCAAAGCAGATTCCTGGTTTCTGCAACTCAAACGTGATGACATATACAACATTTGGTGAGATGCATTAGGTTTTCAACTATTGGTCATTAGGCCCTTATTGATATTTTATTGACTAAAAATGATCGATCAAGAAGAAAAGTCAGCAGATTGGAAGTGTAACTGTAATCTGCAGCCCTGGTCTCAATAGATCTGTTTGTATGCATACACCCTCCTGTTTATCATGTGTGTTTGTACAGCTATCTTTGTGAGGACCAGTTTTAGCCTTTAACCAACGGAGTGAGGACATTTTTGTCAAAGTGAGGACATTTTGGCTGGTCTTCACTTTGTGACCCCCCTTTAATGGACTGTTTGGGGGTCAAGACTTGGTTTTAGAGTTAGGGTTAGAATTAGGTTAGGTTAAGGATAAGGGTTAGGGTTAGGCATTTAGTTTGGATGGTTAGGGTTAGGGTAAGGGGCTGGGGAATGCATTATGCCAACGAGTAAGACTAAGATAACTGTACATACGTGGGTGTGTGTGTGTGTCTAC